AAAGTAACTGTATGGATTGGATCTGAAGCCAATTCCTCCTCAAAACTAATGTCTCTAACCTTATTTCTCCCCCCAAACTCAACATCCTCAAAGAATGTTGCTGTTCCCGTCTCAAAAATATTCCTTATAGTGGGATCATAAAACTTATAGCCCCTAGAGCGATCAGGGTACCCAATAAAGTAGCTGCTAACTGTTTTGGAGTCCAATTTCTTTTCATTTGGCCTATAAGGCCTTGCCTCAGCTGGACATCCCCAAATATGTAAATGCTTTAAACTGGGCTTTCGACCAGTCCAAAGCTCATAAGGTGTTTTAGCAACTGCTTTACTTGGTACTCTATTCAGAATGTAAGCTGCTGTCTTAAGTGCTTCTCCCCAGAGTGACTCTGGTAAAGAAGAATGAGCAATCATACTTCTTACCATATCCTTAAGAGTCCTGTTTCGTCTTTCAGCTACACCATTCATGCTAGGTGAACCCGGCATAGTGTACTGTGGGACGATACCGCATTCCTCTAGGTATCTAGCAAATGGTCCTGGACGTTGTTCACCTGAACCATCATATCTACCGTAGTACTCACCACCACGATCAGATCTGACGGTTTTAATTCTTCTGTTGAGTTGATTCTCAACTTCAGCTTTATAGGCTTTGAACATGTCCAGAGACTCAGATTTTTCATGAATAAGATATAGGTGCCCATAACGTGAGTAATCGTCTATGAATGATATAAAATATTGTTGACCATTCCAGGATTCCGTAGGGAATGGCCCACAAATATCCGTATGTATCAATTCTAAGACATCCGAAGATCTGTTGGCACCTAATCTCTTCACTTTGGTCTGTTTTCCCTTGATACATTCAACACATACGTCGAAGTCCGAAAAATCAAGGGAATCCAAAATGCCATCAGACACAAGACGCTCAACTCTACCTTTTGAGATATGACCTAAGCGCTTATGCCATAATGTCGCCGAATTTTCCTTATTTAATTTACGCTTAGTACCACGTGATTCCACATGCAAGGATTCATTGTAAGAAGCAATTGTATCAAGCAAATATAGGTTGTCATAAATACTCAAGTAACCGGTTCCCACAACATTTGAATTAAAAGATAAACTGAATTGACTGTTTCCAAATGAACAAGAATAACCTGATTTGTCCAATACAGAAACAGAAACCAAATTCCGTCTAAAAGACGGTACTACAAAAGTATCTTTTAAATCCAAATAATAACCAGTTCCTAACAACAACCTAAAGTGCCCAATTGCTTCCACATCTACCGATTGTCCGTCGCCCACAAAGATGTGTCTTTCAACATCACTTGGCTTTCGGTAGCTCAGGCAACCCTGCATAGAAACACTTATGTGAGTAGTAGCACCAGAGTCTAACCACCAAGTGTTTCTAGGTACTGAAGCTAAATTAACCTCAGAACAGACCAAAGCAAGGAACGTACCCTTATTATCACGCCAGGCGTGATATTTTGTACAGTCCTTCTTTACATGTCCAGGCTTCTTACAGAAGAAACAACCCTGATTATCCTTATGTTGTTTCTTCTCAACTGGACCCTTAGCAGCTTCCTTATCATTCTTCCTTTTCTTGCCCTTATCCTTAGAGGCATAGGCCAAATGAGCACTTTCTGTCTTATCTTGCTTCAACCTGTCTTCTTCTTGCACACAGTATGAAATGAGCTCATTTAGAGTCCATTTCTCCTTTTGACAGTTATAACTGACCTTAAATTGGTTAAACTGTGCAGGAAGAGACAACAAAACCAGATGCACTAATAACTCGTCACAAAGATCGAGTTTAAGTGCCTTAAGCTTTGAAGCAATATGAGACATTTCCATAATGTACTCCCTGATATTTCCTTTGCCCTTATACTTCATTGAAATCAAGCGAGCTAAAAGCGTGCTTGTTTCTACCTTATCGTTTTTCGCAAAACGCTTCTCAATTTCGGCAAGGAAATCTTTAGCCTTAGTAATCCCTTCGGATTCTATGCCCCTGAAGGCTTCCGGAACGCCGCGCTTAATGATCATAAGACTCATGCGATTTGAACGCTCCCACTTCTCATGCTCCTTCTTTGCATCAGGAGTGCTATCCGCATTGAGAGGTTGGGGTTGTTCAGTTCTTAATGCATAGTCAAGATCCATGCAGCCAAGAACAATTAATATGTTCTCTTTCCAAACCTTGAAGTTTGTCCCATTTAGCATGGGAATTGAGTTGATGTTAGCAGAAATTGTTGCAGCAGATGCATTAGCTGAAATAAAACAAAAATGCTCACATCAATAACCATAATCAATAAAATTCAAATAATGACAATCCCCATCCAAGATACCGGCACAACATTAATATCAAGTCTTTGGACAGTAATATTAACTTGTAAGTGATACCTTGTTGCAATGATCAAACATTGACAATAACTCATGTCAAATAATGAAACTATCTTTGGATCGATTCATTATTCACATGTAAACCTTATAATTGTCACACGCTTATCATCGCAGATGTGTATACAGTCTAAATAAATATTAACCTTCCTTTGGGCCGATTAAATATTTACACGAAAGCATACACACAAACATCTCACATTCCTCATGAACAATCTACACAAGAGAGGTTACTTTGGCAACTTCTTGTTTCAATTAATCAATTGGAGTGAGAGACAACCTTAATACCTTAGTGTCATAATATTTGAATTAAATAATTGATTAAAAACCAAATTAGATTTAAATTAAAAAGTTTTAATTTAAATCAACTGAATTTCCAAAAACTTAATTGGGGTCTCACAGCTTAATTAGGGCCCATAACTTAATTGAATAAATTAAGTATACCAAAGTGGACCCATGAAAAGCCGAGGCTTAACCATAATGAACACGAAGTTCCCTTAACTTCGAACGCGAGGTTCGACTGTATTGAGTACGAGACTCACTTAAGCACGAACGCGAGGTTCGTCTGAAAATGAACGAACGCGAGGTTCGTTTGATAAAAGAACGCGAGGTTCAACTTGGGAACGAACGCGAGGTTCGTTTAAAAAATGAACGCGAGGTTCGACTGAAGTACGAACGCGAGGTTCGTCTGAAGTACGAACGCGAGGTTCGTCTGAAGTTCGAACGCGAGGCTCGACTGAAGCACGAACGCGAGGTTCGTCTGAAGTACGAACGCGAGGTTCGTCTGAAGTACGAACGCGAGGTTCGTCTGAAGTACGAACGCGAGGTTCGTCTGAAGTACGAACGCGAGGTTCGTCTGAAGTACGAACGCGAGGTTCGTCTGAAGTACGAACGCGAGGTTCGTCTGAAGTACGAACGCGAGGTTCGTCTGAAGAACGAACGCGAGGTTCGTTAAAAAAATTGAGCTTGACGCTCACCTGAGTTGAACGCGAGGTTCACCTTAGAACGAACGCGAGGTTCGTTAAAATTGAGCTTGACGCTCACCTGAGTTGAACGCGAGGTTCACCTTAGAACGAACGCGAGGTTCGTTGAGCGCGAAGCTCGGTTAAAATTGAACGAACGCGAGGTTCGTTTGAGGTAACCACCTCCTTAATTTTCGCCATGAACCCTTAGGGTTTCAAATTGAAACCGCCGCCGACAAACCCAACCTGAGAACGAACGCAAAGTTCGTTAAAATTGAACACAGAGTTCAACCTGAGTACGAACGCAATGTTCGACCTGAGAACGAACGCAAAGTTCGTTAAAAATGAACGCAGAGTTCAACCTGAGAACGAACGCAAAGTTCGTTAAAATTGAATGCAGAGTTCAACCTGAGTACGAACGCAATGTTCGACCTGAGAACGAACGCAAAGTTCGTTAAAAATGAACGCAGAGTTCAACCTGAGAACGAACGCAAAGTTCGTTAAAATTGAACGCATAGTTCATCCTTGAGTACGAACGCAATGTTCGACCTGAGAACGAACGCAAAGTTCGTTAAAAATGAACGCAGAGTTCAACCTGAGAACGAACGCAAAGTTCGTTAAAATTGAACGCAGAGTTCATCCTTGAGTACGAACGCAATGTTCGACCTGAGAACGAACGCAAAGTTCGTTAAAAAATGAACGCAGAGTTCAACCTGAGAACGAACGCAAAGTTCGTTAAAAATGAACGCAGAGTTCAACCTGAGAACGAACGCAAAGTTCGTTAAAAATGAACGCAGAGTTCAACCTGAGAATTCAAACTGAAACCGCCGCCGTCAAACCCAAAAATCTTTGATTTTTATTTTCAAAACAGATCCAGAATTGGAAAAAATTGAAGAAAAAATCAAAGAGAAAACCAAAAAATTCCAAAAAGTTACTGTTTACCGGCGATTTTTTTCAGTTACTGTTCATCCAAAGAAAAAACTTTACTTTTCACCCGAAAAAAAAATTTTCGTTACTGTTCACCGAACATTACTGTTCATCCGAACCCAAAAAATGAATCTTTAACCAGAGATTTAAGATCAAAAACCCAATAAAACTTAAATCCCTAAGAATTAATCAAGGTGGTTCTGATACCACTTGTTAGATCTACATCATAAAACTTGATATCTAAAACCATATAGCCATGATTAATTCAAAGAGATTAACAAAAATCTAAAAGAGCGGAAGCTTATACCTGAATCCATTGCTTGATCTTGATTTTGGGTTTTGGATCTTCTAACCTTAGGGTTTTCTCCTTAGCCAAAATTCTCTCTTAGATGGGGGTGAAGAGAATTAGAGAATGTAGTAACCCTAGATTAGGGACCATAACCCCTTATTTATAGATGTTGTACTTTTGTAATTTAACCCCTCAATAAATTACAATTACAACCTGGTATCTGCACATATAACCCCATGACTTATTTAAATACCAAATTAACCCAACTTAATTGATCACTTCAGTGGGTTATCCTGAAAGATAGCAATACACATTGATTAATCATATGTGCCCACAAATAGATTTATTAGATTAAATCCAACAGAACCTAGAGAGCCAAGTTATGTGGCGTGCCTTGCTGCAGTACGAGTCCAACCAAGAACAAAAAACATCACACGTCCAAGCTAAGACAAAAAGTAAATTGCCAAGGGCCCAGGGTTTTTCCTGCAAAGCAACCTACAACCCTAAAGACATCACAAAACTTTCCAGAGAAACAAACATACAGATCATGTACATTCGTTCAGAAGTATGTTCTTTAGTGAAGATATGTACACAAAAGCCCAAAAGCAAAGACCTAACCAGTTTACAGATACTCCGGCAGCTGGATTCGGTCTAATACTGGACCCTTCGATCCAACAATTTGAATGGCTGGATTTGAGTGGCCTTCCATAAATACATTGGTAACCTGCAATAGATAATGGATAATTAAAAAAGAGATTAAAAAATAGAACCAAAGGCGAATCAATGAATTTTTTTAAAAGACGAGCATGAATTTTTCCACTAAACTACCATGCTTGACAATACTTGGTAAATCATCATGCGCGAAGCACATGACATGTTTTGAACAATTTTACCTTTGTGTATTTTACATTTTCTATATTACCCTCCCCCTCTTCTCCCCTACCCTTACTCTTTTTCCAGAAGGCATGGGATGTATCTTATAGGCTTAGAATCAGATAGTTGAAGTTGAGTTATATTTATGAAACTTTTAATTGCCTACAAAAAAATGGGAAGGGTAGAACCAAGAATTAAGTCCTTCACTGCCTTGCATATGATTCAATGTAAGATCTGTGTACCTGTGTGCATCCGAAAAGTTTCAGAATCTGAAGATTAGAGCAGCTATCAACAATTAATCCCAGTGCTTCATCTGACATGTTGCGACAAAATGAAAGGTCTAGAGTCTTCAAAGTTGAGGAACATCGACGGGAAATAGCTATGGCAGTTTGCTGACCGACCTGAAGAAAATTGTTGTAAGAATCATGTATGTGTCAAAATTATTACAGTTTATCTAGCTTCCATTAGAGAAGATGCAAGTGCAAAAATAACTCATAAGTAGGACAACACATGAAACCAGACGAGCCGATAATCTTATGAACTGGTGAGCTCATTAGTGTAAATGGCTTGAGTTGCTAGAAATGTCATCACTGGAATTGGATCTGGTGTCCTTACAACTATAACCTGATCACTTCTCCTAACTAGTCCAATTAGTAGCCTCTGTTGATTTAATTGCTACTTCTCACATGATGTTGGGAACATCACTGTTTAAGTTGTCATACGATACTATTTACATCAAGTGTAAGATTTTTCTGGATTACATTAGATATGAAAGAAAAAGATACACCTGATATCAGGGCGGATACGGAAAATATTTCCTATGGGGGCACATATATTCTTATACATATAAATTATAATTAATATAATATAAATTTTACAATAGAAAAAATTAGTTATACAATAATCCCAGAGATCTCAACACATAATGCTTTTCATTATTATTTTCATATCAACGCATGATCATTTTCATTTAAAAATAATAATAAAGCTACTAAATTCTAACAATAGTTCTTCGGAATTGTATGAGGTCATCAATTTTATGGGGGTGCCCACATAAATTTGTATATCCCTTAATAAAATCAAATAAAATTTTATGGGGGTAAGTGCCCCTATACCATATGCTTCCATCCTTGCCTGACGTAGACAGTATCTTATAACACTTCAACACTGATGTTTCCCAACATTAAGAAATAATAAGTCGTTAAAATGCTATAACTGCATTTTAAAATTAGATGGGGGTACAATTAGTGCTAATTCCGACATCCACTCACAAAAAATTAATTACTGAGAAACAGTGTGATAATAAGATTCTTCAAGAGTTACTGGAGAACAAGAAAAGACATCCTCCTTATAATTTTATAGAAACCTCTTTACTAAGTATCACCAAGTAATTTCATGTAAAAAAGGTCTAAGAGTAAGGCAGTATTCCCTATTCCAGGAGAACCCTCCATAAGTACAGATGTTTCAAAATCCACATAAGTTACTATGACATATGTTTCTTTCTCAGACTATGACATAAGTTTCTTTCTCAGACTTGGAGAAGTGGAATGTGGAATGTATTATCATTAATGACATTCAAGAATTGAAAGCAGTATTCACTATTCCAGGAGAACCCTCCCCATAAGTGTAGGTGTATCAAAATCCACGTAACTTACTACGACATAAGTTTCTTTGTCAGACTTGGAGATGAGGAACGTATTATCATTGAGAACTTCCTTCCACAAGTAAACCGCATATTTCATTGAACGAACAAAAGAAAAGAAGATGCAACTCCCAAAGGAATCATAAAACAGAAACACACATGATTATGCTTGACCATTTAAGTTGTTACAATAATATCCTCTAAAAATATGGATTGAACCATAGTGCTATTCAGAAGGCTTTTTCAGGGAGATAACTATGGATAAGAAACAATGAAAACAGGTTCAAATTCCAATAAGTCATTCCATATTAAGCTTTTGGTCGTTCAAATATTTGTATTCTCACAGACCCTCACAGACCAAGAGAGTACGTTCCTGAAAGACAATATTCAATTAGATGTAATAATACAACATGATATTCTATCGCTACTATTGAACGAATAGGGGACATAACTAGCAAAATTAGAAGTCAAGATCTATCAGTCCATGACTCCATATCACAATATACTGCAGTTGTAAGCTATAAGATAAGGTACAGTAGAAGTAGACAAAGAAAATATTAGTTGATTAGATTATGCTCCCTAGTTACTCTAGAGTTCTATGAGTTCAAATTTTTATCTGCTTAATCCAATACAATTGACCTAGTATAGAACGGATCAGCTACAATTAAAAAATAGAAATAGATACAGTTGAAATTATCAGCAATGATACACAACAAAGACATTATCCACATTGGTGGCGCCAGTAATTTATCAGCAACAGTGTGAGTCGTTTGTGTTCATAATAGTTTTGTCCAGAAGTGTCATAAATCACATAGGTTATCCAAGATATTTCTCAATGTTGTCCAAAAACTAAACACAGCACAACCATTATCCAAATTTATAGTCAGCAATTTATCAGCAATAATGTCAGACTTTTACGTGTTCATATTAGTTTTGTCCAGAAGTGCCATAAATGTAATTTGGTTATCCTAAATATTTCTCAATGTAGTCTGAAGAACTAAACATCACAAATACTCAGGCGCTCTAAAACATTTTGAAACAAATGTCACACAGCTTTAGGCACTTTCATATACCAGTACTACCATGGTTCAATACATTTGCACTTCATCTCACCATTCTCACTCAATTCTGTCCTTAATCCTCACAAAACGATTAAACTCAGTCCACGAAGATACTGACACCATGGCTAATATTTGCATGGTTAGCCCCACTCCTGCAGCCAGAGTGTTATCATATCCATGTTACTTTGTACCTTTACTGAATACCATTTGCAAACTTTCTTCTGATAAAGGTCAGTAACAATTGCTGCCACAGAAAACTCATGAATGACAAGCCTTTATCTGTTTTGTTTTTTATTTTGTTTTGTTTTGTTTTGTTGTTGTTGTTTTCTAACAATTAAATGTAAATATTTCATAAGGGGTAACGGTCCTTAACAATAATTGCACATGACCATTTCAGAAGAACATGTAATATAGTTTCTCAACTTTAAAAGAAAAAACCTCTCGATATATGTAACTACCAATGCAATATAGAAACTTGGATACCTTTGCAAAATTGTTGACTGAAAGTTCAATCAATGACCCTCCAGAAGCTTCCAGGAATGCTGCAAGAGCTTCATCACTGGCGAATGAAAGCGAAGTCAATGTCAACACTCTAACAGAAGTCAGCGTCATCTTATACACATCAATGTTAAAACTCAACACATTCATGATTTTGTGTGTGTGTGTGTGTAGAGAGAGAGAGAGAGAGAGAGAGAGAGAGAAATGGGTATGTTTGGTACCAAGCACAAGTTTTTGTGCTTGGTAGTGAGGTGACATATTCCCCTCCACTCATTGAAATCGGGGGAGCTACCACTCACGCTCCTAACCACACACACATCCAACCACATACCCACCTAGCCAGCCACCCACGCGCGTATGCCATTTCATAAAAAGTTTTCTTTTTCCCAAAGAGGCCAATTAGTGCTCATTTTCCCCGTGGCTAGAGTCAAGGCTTCAATAAGAGAACCTCTTGAGGCTATCAGGTGATACTATATAAAAAGATGACACTTAATTTTCTTAATAAGCACACAAGTGCTGTAAGGCAGTAGCACAGGAAACACGTGCATCATAAATGGGGGGGGGGAGGGAGTACATTCATTTTCCCCTTAATTTTTTAACCTTCAAAATATATTCCAGAGTCAACAAATTAAATTATTAACAAATGAAGATGGATAGTATGAAGCAAAAACATACTTATTTGCCTAGAAAATAATACTACATAATTGACAGTAAAATGAAAAAAAAATCATTCATAGAAGCAGACGATATGGCTGCTAATTTGAGAAATGATTGCAGGGCTTATTAGCATTCTCATATCAGTTGCCTTAACTATTGCCTTAACTATTGCTATTGAAGGCAAAAACTGAAATCACACTGTATAAGGTTTTGAATTTCACCTAAATGCATTGCGACGAAGTTTGAGTTTCTGAATTGATCTACAACCATTGGCTAGGTAACCTATTGCCAAATCATTCAGCCGGTTCAAGTTCCGAAGGTCGAGAGAGCGTAACAGGGAACAGCTTTCTCCAATAACTTTCATCGAACCAGCAGTCAGTTTACTGCATCCAAAGTCAAAAAATTTATAGCTACCTTCTGAAGACTAAACATATATACAACAAGAATGTTGCAGATGTTAATGCTGTATATGAACAAACTTACTAACCAGTTCAACACAAAGATCATGCAAATGTAATAGGAAAGCCAAAGTAAATAAACTATGATGCAATCTAAAACAGTTCAAAGATAAAGCTTTCAGTATCCTTATTTTAATTTGAGACTATTTCAAAGATAAAGAACTCACTATCCTTGTTTCGATTTGAGACTAACACACATAGGACAAAGTAATAAGGAACTTACCGGCAACCAGACAACCCAAGCTCCTTGATAGTTGATCCACAGGAAGAAACCAGTTTTCTCACAAACTTATTGCTGACAGTCTCAATCTCAGCTACCGACAGAACTTCTAGATTCTTAAGCTTCATCAATGAAGGAAGGATCAGCATAGCATCCACGTCTTGGCACTCATCAATATACAGTTCTTTCAACACTGATTCCAACTTTTCAGCGACATTAATGATCCCAGCTGAGGAGATAAGGGAACACTGGGACAGATTTATACAACTCAGAGAAGGTGCTGAAGAAACAATTGCATTTAGCCCATCATCAGAAAGACGGTAATTACCCCTAAAAGATATCTTAGTCAATAAAGGCAAATTCTTTATTGACCTAGCCAAGATACCCCGTAATACGTAATCAGGCAAACATCTCCCTGAGATATTAAGTTCTAGCACCTGAAACAGTCATAAGGGGGAAAATCCAAGGAAAATCAGCTCCTATGTAGAATGTCAAACTTCATTTGCATAGACCTTCAAACAATTTTGTAACAAACTCCAAAATTAAAAGATGTGAATTCATCCCAAATGTACTGATTACAATAATTTTTTACAAATTAGTCATATAAAATAGACATAATGTGTGAGCCTATGCATCATGAAATGATTAATGTAAATGATAACAACTTAAAATGATAAATAAGTAAATATGAAGTAACTTTCCTACTAGCGTCAATTTTGACAAATAGATAATCACTTAAAAAAGATGATAATTTAACAAATAACAAAGAAACTTGCTAAGCATGAGAATTATACCTTCAATTTTTCAGTATTACACCCACCAAAGGCCTCCTCAAACTCTCCTTCTGTTCCCCATGAACAATCACTCAAATGTATCTCTGTGGGAGACCCACTTACAAGAAGACCAAGAACACGAGAACCCATTTTCCTTGACCTGCATAGATGCGACACAAACCGATGCTTGATAGCATCGGGCACACCATAAAGAGACTCAACCTCTTCAGCATTATCACAAAGAACTTTCATGCATAGATCATGCAGTGAAGGAGGGGATTTCCCAAAGGTCTTAACTTTTTTATCCTTTGAAGGACTCCACTGAATTTTAACCCCAGCATCATCGTTTTTCTTTGAAGAAGAATTCAACTCTCTGGCTATCAGTATCTGCTCTCGATCCCTAATTATCTTCATGGCTGTTGAAAATGGGCCTGGCCAATCTTCATTCTGATCAGCATTCACTGCTAAATCCTCTTCTTCCTCTTCTTCACTAGATTCTTCGTCAGCTTTAAAGAAAGCATATTTGGGAGCCAATTCTAAAGCTACTTTCCTCCCTGACTCTTTTCGAGACTCCTTTGCCATCCGCGTTTTAACCCTTCTTCTGCTTCTTCCACCTTCGAAAACTTCCCGTGCAGAAGATTGGGTAACTTCATTGTTGTAAATCGATGATTGACCTTCTTCAACAACCAACTTGCCTTTCCCTTCTTCATCATCATCAATAACCATCTTATCTTTAGATTTTTCCACAGAAACAGCTTCAGAGACTTCACCATTTTCTTCCAATTGGGACTTTTCGCCGCCATCCAATCTTTTATTTAAATCAACCTCCACTATAGGTTGCCTCTTCGCAAACCTAGGACTCGACCGCAAGTTCATCGACCCCCTCTCTTCCAAAACCCTAGTTTCCACCAACTTGTCCTTTCCTTTCAGTTCATCATCAACAATGATCTCATCCTTAGATTTCTCAACGGGATCAGCAGCATAAACTTCACCGTTTTCTTCGAATCGAACTTCAATCGCCTCAAAATCCAATCTATTCTTCGAATCAACCTCCACTACCGCCTTCCTCTTCTCAATCCTGGTGCCCGATCGCAAGTATACCGAAACCCTAGATTCCCCCTCAATTGGGGACTGAGCAACCCTAGCTTTCCGTTTCCGGCCGGTGACCGTCTCTGAAATAGGCGGCGATAGAGAAGCCAGGC